GGTATAGAAAGACTTTTGGAGAGGAAGTTGGACATTTCAATACTATCCCATATACCCAGAGAGGAAGACAGAGTGACTGTTGGTCAGGAATAGTAGATGAGTATAATGATACTGAAATTGACGATAAAATCCTGTACTTGTCTCTGCCTTGTGCAATTTCGCTGGGTACATGAGGAGTAAAGGCAGTTTCCAAAAATTGGTGGAAAGCCTGGGTAACCTGGCCTCTGGAAAAAAGCAGGTTCCTCTGAAAGCATGAACTGCCAAACTGCTTTTACAAGCAAGATACTGGTTGTCTATTTTCGTACAAAAACATTTTTACTACTATCAGTTTGCATCTTAATGTGCATACTTCCTGCAAAATGAACTTTGTCTGAGAACACATAAAAGTGAGAAAACACAACGCACCCTTCTAAGCAAACACCAGCACCTGTTAAGGAACGGGTTTGATATCTCTCAGTACAACAGCTTGAAGGAGCAGTGCCCACGTGGAGGCCCTTGAATGCTCACAAAAGCTAACACAGTGAACTAGTTACAGTTGACTACGATAATCATACTGGGAAAAATTAGATGCAGGCAGGATGCCCTGAGGAAAGGCAGGGAGAGGACTCAGAGCCGAGTATTGCCACTGCCATCTAGAGGCCTTAAAGACAGATGTTTCCTTCTGTCCCTAGTCACCCCCCTGCCCAAAATTCGGTTTCAAACATAAGAAAATATGAGCTGGAAGACACATAGGTTTTTAGAAACTATAACGCCACAAAACGTCACATTCAGCATCTGGAAATCCTGTGCTCATGGTTGTTGCAAGTACCCCCTAAAAGCACTCCAGCTGATTCAGAAGGGTATCAAAGAATTTTTCTACATTACAGAATTTTTCTTCTTTTGAATATTTTATCACACACAAAGGAAGCCTTTTTCTTCTAAAAACAAGGCCCTTGTGAATAAAGAATAGAAATGCTCACGTTAAACACCTTTTCTTTTATAAGGCACAACGTAAAATGGTTGCATCCTCAGAATCTGGAATGTTAAATTTCACAGAAAGAGTGCCCTTTTAAAACTAATCACCAGTATTTATAATAACTATCCTCTGTTATTCAACAGCTCTATACCTTTCCCTTCATGGAATGAAATATTGTGGGGGCATTAGTTCATTAACATTATAGAAGATACAATATAAAATGTAAAACTCACTGCACGTGTAGAATGTATTCTGTAACTAAGCACAAAGTTATGACACTGAGAGATCCTAGTGGCAAGTCATACAACCTCAAACAAAAATAAGCAAATAAGCACTATTAGAAAACACAAGCAGTTTTTGTTATTCAAGCAGAGCTTTACCAAAGCAAGTTCTATGCCAGAAACAGACCAAAGGAAATGAAGTAGTTAAGAAAAAAAAAACCTCCCAAGTAACCTTCATAAATGCTTGTATTATAAAGTGCATTTGAACACAAGTGTAAAACAGTTCCAAAGGAAAACTCGAAGGGTTGGAAAAGAATTTCTTAGAAGTCACAAGGACCCAAGCATAACCAGAAATACATAAATATCTAAAAGACTGCATGGTACTTGACAGATGATTGCACACAAAGGCAGGCAATAAGCCCTGCAACAGTACTTATTTGGGCTGCCTGACCCTACCTTACAGCTATACTATTATTCAGTGCAAGTGAAGTGCCAGTAAAATTACTCTGCATGTGGTATCCAAGCCACCCACGTGCATCTTTTACACTGTGCTAAGCAAACGCAGTCTTAGGAAACGGGACACCCCTCCACTGGCACAGCACAACCAGGAAACATTGGCAAGTTCAGCGAGGGATTTCCAGTTTTCAATTTAACATATCCCACACTGGCTCTAACACACAACCTCTCAGACTTTGAAGAACAGGGACTTCTTCTCAGGAAAAGAAAAAATGCTGGCAGTTTTGTAAGAGGCTTAAACAACTTGCTTATCTCTCCGAGCCCTGCAGTAGGTTTTAACATTCACCACTCGCATATGCTCAATCCAGAAGACATACTTAAACTTCTAAAGTACGACACTAACTCTTTTCTGGATTTTACCAAGCACTGAAAGCATGGTGACACCCAGAGCATGAACAGCTGAATGAGAACCTTTTGAAATGAATGGGGCAGTTCAAATCTTAGACCAATTTCTCATGCTCTAGGCAAATTCAGACAGTTATCTTTGCATTTATTGATCAACCTCAAAATGATTTCAAAGTTCTCTGCAAATTTTTACAGCTTGAGACTTGGGCCATGATCGGTAGGGAACACTATCACTCTGTTTGCCCAACCATTGGAAGCAGACAGGATTACACACATTTAAACCAGAGGGTCCAGTTCAGTTAACACCAAAAGCAGTTCTTTTTGAGCAACAGAGCACTAGGACTTCTAGAATGGACTAGACAAACTCCCAGAAAACTCCCTGTTAGAAGCAAACTTCCGGCAGTGCAGACAGAGCATTGCTGAGCCCAACTTCTCTTTTGTTAACCCCAGCTCTGGCATTTCTGTTGTACCAAGCATACAGAAAGCGGATGCCAATGTTCCTACAAATATGGCACTTGTCATTTACATGCTGCTTTAAAACAGATCACGCTATAAGGTTACATGAGAAAAGAAAGCAAACCTTCAGAGCTGCAGTCAGACAGGTTGTCAGTCAGAGAGTCGGACAGAGGCTCAACAGGACCAATCAGTTCAGACCCATCATGCACTTCTCCACCCTGAAAAGAAAGAGGGAAAGGTATTATTTAGTCACTGTGCTCTATGGAAAGTCTTATTTTATAGAAGCGATAGTCAAAACTGTATTTCCTAACCAGTGAATGCTCCATTACTTCAGAGTTAATGCATTTAATTAAGCTATGTAAGCCTGTAAAATTAAACAAGTGCTTTTGGTAAGGCCATGTTTGGTTGCCACAGACTGTCTAGGTACCCAAAGAGTAGCCTACTGCAGCTTCAGAGTCCCGGCCCATAGAGGCTGCAGCAGGTCTGCCTGCAAACCCCAGAGTTTAACAGTGAGAACACTGCAATGCTCCCGCTCTCTTGTGATACAAACAGTCTGTGCCCTTCAGCGGTGTTCCCAAGCTCAGCAGGTCCCTCATGCAGGAGAGTTTGTCCATCTGACTAATGTCCCATCCATGACCCACTATCTTGAGTTCAGTCAAGACTGGACAAACAGGGAAGACAAGGCTGCCCCAGCATATAAGGAAGACAGTAATCCCTCCCAAGCCTGAAAGGAATCAAAGGTAAGTGAAGTAACACCAGGAACAATTAAATGCAGTAGAAGCCACCTAAATTTTTTTTTTTTTTTTAATTTTCTGCTTCGCATCTCAGGTGCATGCTTGCCATGCAACTTTAATAGAAACTGCACCATTTCCAAGGCAGTGTACAAACAGGCATTGCTAATCTGTCTTGAACTAGCCCAGTGCATTTTCACAGTAGCCAGCCCATTTTCCTGGAGTCTATAGTACATAGATACACACAGCATGCCCTTCAGTTGTTTCTAAGACTCCATTGTCCAAGTCTATCTCTGCATGGCTGTTTGCACAAAAATCTGAAAAGGAACAAAACCACCCATGAGCAGAGCTAAAGGACATGGGCCGAGCTGGTGACTGATCAAAACCTAAGGCTTTCTTACAGGAAAACATGACACAACATCAGCTAACAAATGAACCTAAATTATCACACTTGCCTAATTCCCCTTGTAGACATACTTGCTCCTATAAAAATTAATGTCTTCTAGTTTTATTCATTCATTTGCTTGCAAAGCCAGAAAAGGTCCATTGAAAGGCTAAAACTAATACTTTTGTTAAGCAAAGGAGGGGAAAAGAGCTCTGAACAAATACCCAACAACACAGAAGTACTTCCAAAGAACTGAAAAAGTGCAAATGCAAATAAACTGAAATGTAAAATATCCTCAGTCTCCTACTCATTGTTGCCACCAAAGCTCAAAGAACATTAAGTATTTTAAAGACCTCTGCAATAACTGCATCACAAAAACAAGTGAAGATTTTTATGCTTCACTGTAATTTTGCTTTTGCATATGTATCATTCAAATACACTTAACACATTAATACATTTAAGTCCCATCTCAGCCAGATGAGCACTTCTTTAATTCCAGGGAGTTACTATCACATTTACATGTAAATTTATGCTTATGGGTTTGCAAAATATTGGACTAAGCTACCGAAAATAAAGAGGTTTGAAGGAACTATTGAAAACAAACTGCTGCAGATGTAATAAAGAGGAAGTCCGGATCAACGTATTGTCTTAAAATAGTCTTTGGAGAGCGGCTCTCACAATACTGTACAAGCAGCACATTTGACTAGTTATATGCCAAATTTGTTGTCACGGACTTGAATCCGTAACAGGCCATAAGAAAACTGCCTAGATAGTCTTCCTTCCTTTGGTTTGAAACTATAAACACCTACATAAAACAGAAACAGCGACAATATTTTTACTACTTCCCCGCTGAACACCTGGATTGAACACCACGGGTTTTGCTCTTCATTCAATAAATAAAAATTCCAAATCCCTTCACCTTAAGTTCCTGTAAAACTTTCCACTTTGTAGAGGTGTGGCACGGGGTTTTTTTTAAAGCCATACTTCTAGAGTGAACGGAAAACTCCCAGTCACTTCACAAAGCAAAGCATGTCAGATCAGCTCACTGTCACTTCACTGTTTATAAAGTAAAGCAGAATCAGCACTATACTTTATTCATATCAGTGAGAAGCAAATACTTCTGCAAATACTAACAAACCTTAAAAAACTCTTCAAGCTGTTTGCTGTTATAGAGAGCAGGGATATTGGCAGAAAACTGCAACAGATCTTCAGCACATTGCCTTCTTTCTTCAATCACAGTTTCATCAAATCGCCCTGGAACAGACACATAGATTGACAGTTTCAGAAATAACTACACATTTATTTTGCAATAATAACTACCACCAAAAAAAACCCAAACAAAACAACAACACAAAAGCAACCTTCTGGAGACAATGCCCTGAGTCTATGAAAGTCATTCCAATGCTTCAGGAGAACATTCAAACTTCCTATTCTCAATTGTCCCTAGAGTCCCATCTTCTGCAATCCACTTGGATGATGAAAGCTGGCAGCTACGACAAGAATCCTTCGCCCTCTCATCGTAAGAATATGTGAGGCAACACTCTTGATTAGCCAAGAGACACTAACGGATGTCCAGTGTTATCTAAGAATAAATGATACATGCACAATTTGACAATATGCCAGTCAGTGTCAGCCTTGATTACGGCCCAAATCCTGTAAGGAGCCGAGCAATCTTCACATACTCTCAAGAACAACGCACAATATGAGCAGACAGTAAATTAAGTATTGCTAAAAGCCCCCAAACAGATCATCAATTCCAAGGTGCCATTTATGGAGGAGCCAAAGTGTAGGGGAGATGGTGAAGCCCTGCTACTAGGCACTGAAGCTTTCCTCTCAAGTAGGTCCATGCAGACAGGGTCTCACCTCCTCCTGGATTCAGGAGATAAGCAGAGCTGGGAAGCAGCTCATTTACTAAAACATATTATCCTTCTCTTTTTTCTACCCAGCACCCAAGACATTCCAATTAGAAAAAAACATATTTAAAAAACAATCCCACAGTTCACCTGAAGAGATTTGCTTCTCAGGAGAAAACCCTTCGATTGCTACCTTAAATTCACATTCCTCACAATTGCATACAACTTATTTTAGCTTTTCATATCAACACCACTTTGTTGTTGAAATAGTTACAAGTTTATAAAAGGAAAAGGGCGGAGGTTAACAGTAATAATTGGAGGAGAATAGAACAGATATTGGAACAGCTATACAGAGGGGAAAAAAAGGACTGGGAAGACAAGTTCAAGAAACAGTATTGCTATAACAGCATGACCTAAAAAATAAGAACCACCTGTGACAGCTCTGTGGCATTAACCTTTGAAGAGGACAAAAGAAACATTGAATACAGAAGCAAAACTCATTTATGCTCAGAGCAAGCAAAAAAATAATCCCAGAAGAAAACATCAAAGCAGGATTCTTTCCATAAATTCTTCAAGTAAATAGCTCCTGCCCATGTGGTACCAGAAAAAAAAGAAAATAAAACTAGAAAGACGCACACATACTCACAAGATCACAAACAAAGCTTTTGGGGGTTATTTTTCCATGAAAGGAAAGGAAAGACATTATTGGGCTAATTTTCAGCTGGATCGGTTCCGTGACTTGTTCGCTCTGCCCTTTCAGCTGTACAAACTTTAGCAGCCGTACAAAAGAGCAAAAAGCAAGCAGAAAGAAGGCAAAGGGAATGCTACCATGTTGAGTGGTAACACTGAAATTAGGTTCTATTAAACCGCTCATCAAACTTCCTATGTCTTCAGAGCAACACTGGGGGTGCATTAGGGCTTTTGCTTCGTTTCACACACAATAGGATATCATGAAAAAACAACTTCCCTCAGTAAAGCGCAGCAGCACAGGCCAGCTAAATGAATCTACAAAATAATACGAACACTGCTGTAATGAAACAGAAAATTGATTGCAAAGAAGTAAACACTGAACAAGACCAGAAACAGGTAACACTTGCAAGCAAATAATTCTATAAGATATTTTTCCTCGTCTCCCAGGGATCTTTCTCTCCCCCATCTACTCTGTCATCAAACCAAATAAAAACTAGTTTTCCCCATCCGTATCTTCTCAATACTTCCACTTGGCACCAGATGGGAAGTGCCCAGACCAGCACGGCCAGGCTGACCAGCACACGTTCACCGATTGTCCAGGCAGCTGCAAACCTGACGGGTATAAGCTGAGCCTGCCTGGCCCTTGGTAGCACCATAGCACACGCTCTCTTCTTACTCAGCTGCCATTTCACAGACTTTGCAGAAATATAATTACATTTGCAACCGCCTTCCCTCTCAAATGTAGCTGATACTAGCCACATGAGTAAGAGATTTGACTTTCTGACAGCACGATTACATAAGCCTTATTTTCTTTGGAAGCTGAGATTAAAAAAAGAAAAAAACAAAACCAAAATAAAACACATGTTCAAACAGAACAGTTGAAACATTAGTCACTGTCACATTTTCCAGATCATCAGCATCATTTTACACTATCAGGACAACTACTTACAGAACTAGAGGACTTTGGGGGAAGGAATAACATAATTCAGTACTGGTTTGTTCACAGACTATCTGGCATCTTGCTGGCAGTTTCATTCCCAGCCAACCCTGCCAAACTCCCTCTCCCTTTTTTCTTACTTTCAAGGAATCTTGTATTGCTCAACACTTTCATTTTCACCCTTCTCAAAGGTGCTTAGACACCCAGCTGACTCTTCAAACATTTCTATCAAGAAGTCTTTCTGCATCTAAATCAACGTTATTTCCACTGTTCTTTACATCTCTCAGACACATGAAAATTTCATTATAGACATCATGTCTTTCCAGGGTTTTAGGAAGTGTCAACTAAAACCTTAGCATATCACAAATTAGCATTAGCACAGTTCTGTTATTCCTCCAGCAATGATTCATTCAAAATTTCTTATATATGTGGAAACCAAATGTAAAGTCCTGTGAAAAGAATCCACAATTCATTTTGTGGAGCAGATCTGAACAACAAAACACCTAGCAAGGTTTGTGTTCATGCTTCAGTCAGTTTCTCACAAGCCTTCCAACTGTACGTGACACCTAATTCTTAAACATGCTACTCCATTTGGTATTTTTGAATTTAAGAAGTAACCTTATCTGAGCTTTATAATGTGAATCATCTTTCTAATGTACTGCCAGCAAATTATCAATACCTGGGTTTTTTTGGTTGGTTTTGGTTTTGTTTGGTTTTTTTTTGGGGGTGGGGGTGGGGGTGGGGAGTACTTTTCTGCAGTTGTTAGATACAAGACATGCTGAGTACAGATTTACCAGTATTTCGGTAAAATACCATGTATAGCAAACACACATGAATACTTAAACCATGCAATCAAAAAAAACTAGTTTGAAAATACTGAAGAAATCATGTTGATGCATATCAGGGCAGGAGAGTAATCACTTCCCAGAACTAGGTATCATAATTGCAGCATAACCATCCAGAGAAGTTTTAACAGCTGGATCTGTTAGGGCATTTTAGATTCCCATGCTCTAGTTCATCATGTTTCCTCCATAAGATGGGTGGAAAAGGTTCAAAAGTAGTACAGAAAAAAAGTGAGATTATTTCATTTCCCACGCATAACAAGTGTCATGCTTTGATGTGAGCAGCTCCACTGTAGCATCATAAAAATACATGCACTTGTACATTGTAAATATCAAAAGCTGTGGAGTAAAACATGCAACACAGTTCAGTTCTGCAGATGTGGTAAGCCTTTAGTTGCATGAAACACAGAAGCACAGCATGACCCATTCGTTTTTAAATACAGTTCTCCATATCATCTCCCGAAACTCTGAATGCTGATATTGAGATTCTGCTCAGATTTAATACTTCTACTACAAGTGAGTTTGACCATCAGAATCAACTCTCACTTTGTAAAGTGTACTCTCCACAAAACAATGCATACACTATTTAAAGTACACATTAAAAAAAAAAAATCAACAAGTTGACAGCAACTACTGGCAATGGTAATTAGTAACTAGTTTAAAAGTTGCAACAAGTGGAACATCACAGGCAGGAAACACTGCAGAAAAGCTCCATTAAAGCAGCTTGAAAACAAAAGGTCTTAATAGAGATGGACCTTGCAGCTCACCACTAACTGAACAAGACCAAAAACAAGTTTGTCAAAAACTCAAAATCTACTAAGATTACATTTTTCCTCTAGTACAAAAAATACTAGGACTGATCTGAAGAGAAAGACTTTAAATTAAAATAAAACACACAGCAGTTATTATGTGTAGAAGTGAGACGGAAGGATGCACATTAAAATTTTATGCTTTAAATAGAAAAATAATTCTTAAATTGAAGAGTCAGACATTTCTATTCCTTTCAGCTATGTATCAAACATTTAAAACTTATTTTTGTATTACCTCCTCTTTCCTGTATTTTTCTGTGGCTCAGCTTAATTCAAATGCAATGCGTTTTGGTTTGGTTTAGATTAATTTCAAAGAGCTGTTTTATAAATAACTACATTGAATATTTCTGTAGATTTCCTTCTCTTACAATGTACATTGCAGTCACTTTTGTTCAGCAAATACAATAGAAGAAGGACATCTTTCAGAAGGGATTTCACTCAATTCTTCCCTTGCTTACAGAGCTAGTGTAAAACCAGCTAATTTGCATTTCTGGCAATTTAAAATTATTTAAGATATTAGAAGCCCATATTCTCTTCCACCCTGATCTTCTTTTCTTTTCACCCCTCCCTTTCCTCCCCTATGAAGAGCTACCATGTCTTCTACCTGAAATTAAATTATGCTTTGCAAATATTAGCTTTGTAAATAATTTGTCCAGCACTCTGCTCTAAATCTGATATAAAATTATCTCAGGATGAAACTAATACTACATTCTCTATTTAACCACTAGCGCACAAGTGCTGACATAGCACCAAAACTTACCCTACTTCCAACTTCATAAATAAGCAACAATAAAATTACATTAAAGCTGGATACAATTTAGGTGATGTGAAAGACAATCTAAGCTAGGAGCTTTACCCAGCTCTGCACACAGACCCATGAAAACCGCATCAGAGTTCAGCTGCTTTGCCTCTCACTTAGCTGGCCCACACAACAAGGGGTTAAGTCAGACACTCCCCTAAAGCGGTAGGGGCAGATTGGATCTGGGTTACAAGCTAACCTCAACTCCTTCAAAGTTGTTTATGTCAGTATATTCTCTGTGCCATGCCTACACGTGGTAGGCACCAAAACAGAACACTAAGTAGCAAAAACTACAAGTCTGTGGCAGTACTCGGGACTGAAAAATCAAAGAGAAAATTTGTGCTTTCCAAGCTGAGGCTTTGCCTCCAGGGCAGTTTCACACAGCTTCTCCAGCACCCAAGGGAAAGGAGGGCCAGTAAACACACCGCAGAACCACAACCTCAGGCAGTATTACAGAGCTGTCGCACACAGTGGTGGAAAAAAGGCTGACTAAACAAGGTAAATTTTGGTACTTTCCAAACTGACAGGCTTGACTATCCCAAAGGAATAGCAAATGCCAAAAAAAAAAACCATGCCAGCATAATACACCAAAAAATCACATTACAAAAAAAAAAAAAAAACACCACAACAAGAACCTAAAAATGCAGGAAAAACACACCAAAAAGTGCTAGGGTGCACAAAGTGCAGAAAAGGTTATGCTAAACACATGCAAAAATACTAAAAAATGTTTTTGCACATTTTTCCATACATAGCGTAGTCAACACATGACAAAAACCACCAAAAGCATACTGGATGCTAAGAGACACTAAAACCATGACATGGGGAAAAAAAAACCCAACATGTAAAAGTATGCAATAGATGTATGTAAAAAAATGCAAAACACTGGATGCTAAAACACGCTAATGTGCAACGCAGGAAAAAACATGGGAAAATATGGCCTAGATGCACGACCAATGCCGCTGAAAACGCTACAGACAAAAAATCCAAAAAAAAAACCACACTAGCTGCATGCCAAAACCTGTCTGGATGCTAAAATGTGGGCAACACATCAAAAAACGTGCAAAAACATGCATGACAACACATGGAAAACGTGTAGATACAGACAATGGCATGCATAGGTAACCAAAACAATATGGGGGGGGAAGCACGTGGTAGCAGGGTGCAAAAGAACACCAGCCAAACCCATGCTGCATGCTAAAATCACTCAAAAGCATGTCATAGATGCACACCAAAAAAATGCCATGTCTGCTGTACATTTAAAAGCCCACCAAAACACCTTAGAAACACTATGGCAATGGAAAACACCACCACAGCAACACCTCAGAAACAATAACAGGAAAAAAAAGAAAAAATAAATAAAAAAAAGGTGCAAAATCTACATCAAAATCCTTGGCAAAAACAAGAGTGCATGGAAGATGCACGCCAAAAAACACCAGGCATGCTAGACACTCAAAACACCACCACAGCATCGCCAAACATGCCACTTCAGGAACCAAAACCCACATCAAAAAACCATGCAAAATCCACACCAAAAACCTTGTCAAAAAAAGAGCATATAGCAGGTGCATTAAAAAAAAAAAAAAAGCCAAACAGGCTGGACAGTAAACACCATGCAAGGTGCATAGGAAAACCATAAACACAAGCTGGAGGCTAACATAACAAAAAAAAACAAACCACCACACACACATCCCCCAACACCACAGTGCACTAAAGCAACTTGTAAACTTGTAACAGCCTGAATAACCCCAAAATACCTTAGACACTAAAAAGCCGGCCCAAAACCACCTTAGAAACCAAAAAGCCTGCCAAAAACCACATCAAAAAAAGAGTATGCAGTAGACTCATGCCAAAAAAAACCCGTCAAACATGTTGGAAGCTTAAAAACATATTAAAACGCCAAACAATTCCATGAGTAGATCCATGCCAAAAAAACCCACCAAATACACTGGACACAAAAAAAGTGCTGAACAACTCAAACCCACTGAAAATCATGTGGTATATGCACGCAAGAACATCCCACCCAAGAAATCCGGAACAGAAGCAGTGTCACAACAATGCCCTAGAAACCAAAACAATACCTAAAAACACCCCAAATCCACACCAGAAACCTTGCCAAAAAGAAAGCACATGGTAAAGTGTGCCAAAAACCACCAAACATGCTGGACACTAAATACCACCAAGGTCTGTGGAAAAAAAAAACAAACCAAAACAAAAAAAACCAACAACAACCAACACCACACAACCACAAAACCCACCACAAAAACCACCACAACACAACCAACCACACACATAAACACAGACTGGATGCTTAGAAAAACCCCCCACCACTAAACCAACTTGTAAATTCCATGGAAATGCCTTAGCAATGCCAAAAACACCTTCAAAACCAAAAAGCCTGACAAAAACAACATCAAAAAAGAGCATGTGGCAGATTCATGCCCAAAAAAAGCCAAACCTGTCTGACACTTAAAAAAAATAAAACACTGAAAAGCAGCACCAAACCCGTTCTGCACAGTTAGCAATGCCTTGGAAACGCCTCAGAAACGCTCACAAAGCACATAGTAGATGCATGCCAAAAAACCGCCAAACATCCTGGACACGTTAAAAAAAATGCTGAAAACCACTTAAAAACTCCTGAAAATCATGAGATATATGCATGAAAAAAGCTACACCCAAGAAATGCTGGACACCAAAAAAAAAAACAACTACCCAAACACCACAGCAACACCTTAAGCAAAAAACACACCAAACAGTGCAGAATTCACACCAGAAACCTTGTCAAAAAAAAAAGAGAGCATATAGTATATTTGCCAAAAAATGCGAAACTTGCTGGATGCTCAAAATCACACAAGGTACATACAGAAAAAAAAAAAGAAATTAATCAATCACACATACACGCCCCATGTGTGGATGCTTAAAAAAAACCAACATGCTAAACCAATTTAGAAACACCATGGAAATGCCTTAGTAGTCTTAAAAATACATTAGAAAGTGGAAAACCTGCCAAAAACCACATCAAAAAAGAGCACATGGCAGATGCACACCAAAAAGCACCAAATGCATTTTGGACTGTCAGAAACACCATAGAAATGCCTTAGAAACACTCAAAAAATAAGTGGTAGATGCATGCCAAAAAGATCAAACATGCTGGACACTTAAAAACCCGCAGGAAATTGCGTGGTATATGCACGTCAAAAAAAAACACCACAGAAATCCTGGACACAAAAAATGTCACAGCCACACCTCCGGAACCAAAAAACACATCAAAAAATGGCCAAAATCCCCATCAGAAACCTTGGCCAAAAATAAAGTGCACATGGGAGATAAATGTCAAAAACTGCCAAACACCACACTAGAAGCATAGCAGAAAAAAGCATAAACAAAGGCTGGATGCTTTAAAAAAATAATACACTAGAACAACTCCTAAATGCCATGGAAATGCCTTAGTAACTCTGCAAGTACTTCAGAAACCAAAAGCCCACCCAAAACAAACCAAAAAAGAACACATGGTGGATGCACGCAAAGAAATGCCCAACACTTGTTGGACACCTGAAAAAAAAAAAAAAAAGAACAACTTTAAAATGCTTGGAAAAAAAAGACTCAAAAGCAGATGGTAGGTGCACACCAAAAAGCACCAAAGCCATTCTGGACAGCTAGTAACACTTCACAAGTGCCCACAAAGCATGCGGTAGGTGCATGCAAAAAAGACTCCAGACAAGCTGGACAACCAAAATAACACTGAAAAATCCTTAAAAACCCGCTGAAAATCATGCGATAGATGCATGAAGAAAAGCTGGTATACGTACACCAAAAATACAGCAACCCATTGTGCTGAACACAAAGAACACATGCTAAAAAAAAAAAAAACCAAAACAACGCACCACTAAAATAAGCACAACCCACTGCTAAAAAATGTGCGGCAGATTTCTACAGAGTTCTACACAGAGTCATACCACCTCCTTGAAAGTCCACCTATGGCCCATTTGTGATGACATATACACCAGGGTTAAGACAAGACCTCTGGCTTTTAAGAGCTAGTTACTTCTTGCCATGTATTTCTCATGAAGAGTCACAATCCTCTTACAGGTTGCTTTGGTGAAGGAGTTAACTGCTGCATGTAAAACTGATCCCAAAAGCCTAGCTACATAAAATTGATAATTACAATCAAATTCCTAAAATAAAAAAATTCTTCTCTCAACAACGACTGGATACTTTACTAAAACTTACCACTAAAAATCAGACAGCTCATAGATGAAAATCTTTGTTCATTGTTCAAGTGCTGTTCACAAAGCTAATATAGACTTTATTCTTCTGAAAACAGGGAACGTACGTTGTAAAGATACAGAACATACATATACATCAATAAACATCTGAGCTAATATCTCTAACATGAGCATGGAAGCAAGGACATAACTACCCCTGTTAAAAATAAATAAAAGTATCAAGCTACATCACCATCACACCTACAGGTAAGACACAACAAACCAGTAAGCGCAGTAGTAAAACCACATGGAAAAACAAGTTCCATGCAGCTGCAAAACAAGATTATTTATAGATATTATCAAAGTATTTCAGCAGGTCAGGAATAAATTATGCTTACCAAATACTATCGCTTTGGCAAAAGGTGGAAAGAGTTCTGTATGCCTGCATAGGTTTTTATGAATTTGCCAGAGATCTTTGTGCAGTTTCTTAAAGTCACTGTATCTCTTCCAAACGACTATCTGAAGCAGAGAAAGAGGAGAGAAGAATTAGTGACGTTTGTTGTTCATAGTGGAACACACCACAAATACTTTTTTTTTTAATCAAATCAGACTACTACCTTCAGCAAATATGTTTAACAAAAATATACAATCTGAACTGCCATCTGTAACAACCATTTAAAAAAAAAAAAAGGTCATTCTCTGACCCCAACCCCCATTTTGGCTAACAAGACTACAGTGCATAGAAAAAAATATTAAGTAAAAGCTGAAAGAAGGAAACAGAAGGCAAAGGCAGAACTGTTCCGGTCACACTGAGATCCAGAGCTACACAAGGAACCAGCAAAAGAGGAAAAAGTGTTGAATAGTAGTGCTGCACTATCCAATGCTCCATAGCACACTGTGCTTGGCACAGCTGCAGGTGTGGGGAAGAGACAACAGCAAAAGAGAAAATGAGGGAAGAGAAATCAACATGTGAGGGATTCTTAAGGGCAGCACATTAAGCACCCAGGACAACAAATCAGCTCGTAATTTGTTCACGTAAAATGCTGACGAGGTCTATTAGTCTATAACTGACCAAAAATTGAGTACATTCCTTTTGAAATCCAGGCAAAATCTCCAACTTCAGAAACGCAAAGAGAGCATTGGTTCATCACACCAGCTTTTCCTGATCCACCCTTTCCAGAAAGCAGTAGTCATCTCCCAGCCAGGTATCTACCTGATCCTTCTTCCACCCCACTCTTTTTATTCTTTCCATTCAGGGAAGGAGGAGAACCCAGCAGGAAAATCAGGCCAGGGAAAGAACTGAGCAACAAAATTTACACTTGACTGATAACAGGTCTGCTATCAGGATGAAAAAAATTAACATAGACATTTTATACCTTAGCCTTGGTCAGACTCACTAAGCCTTCACAACAAATCTCAACACTAATGCAAAGTGAATCAAGTAGAACATTGGGGGGAAGTGTGGAAAGAAGGAGACTGAAATGCATTAAGCAGTTGAGTCCAGTGTTCTGTCAGACAAACATCTCAATTAGCTTAATACAACTAACCACAATTTAAAAGATTCCAAGTATTTCTGACTGATTTAACAGGCATCTTCTCATAAGCAATCACAATTGAAAAACTACTTTTCTCAAGCAAAACAGATTTACAGCTAAATAAAAGGTTTACTCTTAGAAGGTTTTGTTGGTTTTGTTGTTTTGTTGGAGTTTGAAGGGGTGTGGGCTTTTAAACATTAAGGTCAGAGTCCTTCTAACTTTCAGCAGATGCAAGTTCTACCTACAGAACAATGCAGATGTAAGGTAACAGGCCTCGTAACAGTAGATATGCAAAGCTTTAATATGGCAACACTCTATTCACCTTATACACTTTGCTATACTGAAACTAGCAGTCCTGATTCAGCCTCACCTATTGTGCACACATTTCCAGGACTCAATTATAACTCGTATTGGGTGGAGTTCAACAGACAAGGCAAGAAAAATCAGAATCTCTCAAGAAGGCCAACGAGTCAATTTGCTATCAGAAAAAATAATTTTCCAATGCTGTATTTCCATCTACTCCAATATCCAGAAAGAGCATGATTAGCACTTCTTGAGCAGTGTGCATATAGAACATAAAATTGCTTAAGATGGTGAAGTCTTGAAACATTAAGCTACTGTATTGTCAGCACTTGGAGACAACGTGAAAAGCTGCCAAAAAATAAGAGCGTGAGTTTCCATTCCACTAAAAAAAGTACCATTTTTTACTGCTGCAAGTGATCTCCCAATAGCCAAGAGGAAAAAAATACATACATCCATAAGTAGCTTGCATAGCAAAAACAGTCAAGGTCATCCTAACCTTTCACAAGCTCATGGAAATCATGCCTTTGCACGCATGCAGCTCAGTAAAGTTAGCAAAGTTCCCACTCTAGCATACTCATTAGGAACCAGATTTGGAGGACACATCGTACTTTGAGGCCCAGCGAAGCACAGCAAGTATATCGTAAAACATATGTCAGACTTGTAATGCAATAAGGTGCTTGTCACGGCTAGAGCCAGTAGATGTCTATTAACTCACGCGACTCATCTGTTCCACAATGAACAACCCTTTCTCCTCTGTGAATGAGTAAGAGAAAAAAAAAAAGCCACCAAAACACAAGACTACCCTAGCTACAACTGCCTCACACACCATGCTGCCACCATCAATCCCCAGAAACAAGGAAATTAAAGTTAATAGATACAGAAAGGCTAGCAGACTTAACTCCTCCACACACAACTCCACATTAACTTCTTTCATCCTTTTGAGAAGAAAGCCCTTATAAGGGTATCTTCCTTCCTGTTCCAGCAACAACAGCTGAGGTTATCTTGAATTGTACTCAGCTGCAGCAGGAGAGATGCTGTACTAAAGGCTAGTACCACAAAGGGCAGTTAAAAGAGGTCACAGAAACAGACAGAAAAATGGCAAGTAGAGTTGAGGTCACAGTACACAACTTTATGTATAGTGTACATATGTAATGTATGTATTAACATCACAGCAGTGACATTAAAAAAGACTTCCGAATGAGTACTTTCAAACTGAAAGAGGGCAGATTTAGATCGGGTATTAGGAAGAAGCTCTTCACTGTGAGGGTGGTGAGGCACTGGCACAGGTTGCCCAGAGAAGCTGTGGCTGCCCCCTCCCTGGCAGTGTTCAAGGCCAGGTTGGATGGGGCTTGGAGCAACCTGGTCTGGTGGAAGGTGCCCCTGGCCATGGCAGGGGGGTTGGAACTAGATAATCTCTAAGGTCCCTTCCAACCCAAACCATTCTATGATTCTACGAGTAGGCAGGCACAGCTAAGTGGTCCTACATGGGTGCGGGAAGGCGATTGCATGAGACAGATCGTAAAGCAACAGGGTGGTTGTCTGCACGAAATTTTGTCTATCGAATTTCTAATAGAGCATTCTGGAAAACTGAGGTAAATTTATCTTCAGCAGAAACAGGTTAGGAGCACACTCTTTTTCTTTCAAAGGCTGCCCACAATTCTATCACAGGAAGCCAGTATAACAGAATAGCTTCCAGCATATGTGGTTTTCTGACTACAGCTCACCCTCATGGCGACTACCACCTAGGATATTCTTTTTAATAACTCGGTACTTTTGGACGCTTGCTTACAACAAAATCACACCACACCTAACACGATATCACATGCAAAATAATTAATTTGCTACAAAGAAGGGTGAAAAGGGGGCAATCATCATCAAGTTCATAGCACGTTTACATCTTCTTGCAAACTAGAGTTTGTGGAATCCTGCATGGCTAACCTACAGCCACAGATCAAAGCAACAACTGAAGCAATAACTAAAAGATATGGTTTTGCTATTGTTTCAAAACTACTTAACATACATTCATGCAATACTCTAGCTGAAAGACACTTACAATATATTTTTCTGATGAATGGCTCATCAACAGGTGCTATAAAGTGTTTTTCCCACAAATGAAGATTAAGGTAATGGCAGAATGTGCTCATGGATAGGTTCAACTCAGGAGTCTCCCTGGAAAAGGTGAACATCAAGCTACAAACTACAGTAATGCAATTCTAAGACTAGATCCATGATCATCTCCGATTCCAATAGGCTATTTTAATCTTATAGAGATTAAAAAAAAAAAAAATGCAAAAAGCATGAATGCTCATGTTTGTCTGATTCTCAAGATTCCAAAGAAGGATGCAACAAAGTGGTGTTAGGTGTATTAGCCAATTCTCTCACCTCTGCCAAGCCACTAATCAGTAACTCATGTTTGACCACAGAGATGCAATGAATTCATTTATAGGCTCTTCTTTCATCAACTATCCATGTTCTCCTCAACTGTAGTAAGAGACTGCACCAGAAATTGAACACATGCATACATTACACAACGTCTGAAAAGACACAGGGTTGTGCTTTTCAAGGAAGATTTTGCATGTACATAGTATAATAGTATCAACGTCAAGTCACTAGTCCAGAAGAAATCAAGAAAGAAAAAGACGGGTTTTAATCTTGAAAAACACACCAAACCCACAACCCACACACCTGTGATGTACTTTTTTGTCTCAACACAATGGTTCCTGACAGTCTTTTGAAGTATCAAAGAGGCACAAGAATACAGCAGACCCTTATTCTGAGTCTTTTTGGAAAAGGTAGCGAGTAAGCAATTTTAAAGTTTTATCAAAGTATATGACTGGAAAATACTTAAGGAGCCTCAGAGAGAGCGGCATAATATATGACTTGCAGTCTAATCTGTCTCCACTACTCCTACACTCCTCCATTTTCTTTCTTCACTAATAGACAGTAATGATGTAGGCTTTTCAGTGAAGTATTGGTTAAAGAGGAAAAGAGTACCTACAGCTGAGACCTAAGACTTGGATTGTGGACTGATCTCTAATTTTATCAGTAGGAGTTAAGTAACCATCAATTTGCCAATTCCAGCCTTGAGAAAAGAGCTTGCAAAGTTATCAAAGCAGTTTTGTCATCAAAAGACACTTTACTCCGTAAGACTTTGTTTCAAGTCACGATTCATCACTGGCGGCAGAATTGCAACATGTTACACCAGCTACTGTTTTCAGCTATGAAAGCTAAAGACAAATGGAAACGTACAAAAAAACCCTGTTGGTTCAATTACAATGACAAAACACACAGAAATTGCTAAATTACATCAAAGATGCTTCAAAAGGCATAGTGTGATACACAAAGACATTTGCACAAGTTTAAACTGTTACCTCCTGGACATCCTCTGGATTTTTTCTTGAAACAATCTGAAAAGCAAAACAAAAAACAAACATAAATAAGCTTTTGGTTTTTCAGTTTGGAAGTTAAAGAGTAACATACAATGATTTGTTGCTGAAGAGAAAATCTGGAAAAAGGCAAGCAGTTGCATGTCCCTCTGCACTCAGGAATGTTTTCATTTAGTTTTAGAGAAGCCTAATATCCAAATACAACACGGTGAAGTGTTTTAGCAGCAGAGTCAGTCACTGCAATCAGAAATAAAGACGTACATTCTAGGCAAAATGGCACGGAAGGCATCTCACAAAACAAAGCTACGTAGAGCCCATCCCCCATCATCTTTCCTATTAATTAATATTAGGGCCACATTACTCCCAATAAGCAGAGCTAATTAAGGCTACTTGGCTTAATATAAGCTCCACACAACCTCACTGTGAATGTGAGGTTTTGCATTTCCTAAGACAGTATTTCCACTTTACTTACGGCCATCAGTGCGCACACACGACTGACTCTATCCCTCTGCATTCATTTCTCCTTAAACACTCTTTGCCTAATTAATTATAAATTACTTGGTCCAGAGTAAAATGGCAGTGAAAACGAGGCTTGGCTACACACCATGAAGAAGGCTGTATTTTGACAGAGTTTTTTTCTTTAGATAAATATTGATCGCAAAAGCCTTTGTAATCCAAGTTCTGTACTGGGCTTATAAACAGCAGTAAGAGCATACCCACACAAACAAACCAATCAAATAAAGACATCTTTAATTCATAGCTGCAATTATCTTGTGCAAGTCAGTATATCCTTCATGATAACTCAGGCAAAGCTGTTTAACAAAATAATTAGCCTATTGTTAGCTAAAGCAAAATAGGGCATTCTCAATCCAAACCGAGACTATCCACACAGACACACCCCAGAATAATTAATGCTGTGACTAGGAGATGTATACAGGCAAGCGCTAGGAGTCCAAGCTACTTGCACCCCAGAGACCAAAGCAGCATCCCGCTGTACCGCAAGCACCGCACAGCTGTTGCTCTAAGATGGAAGTCACTGAATCTACGCTTTCCTCTTGCTAAGTGACAATAGCATACCCCTCATACTCCCCACAAACTAGCGCTCTTCCTCCTGTTCATTTTTCAAGAAGCCTTGCCAAAGCCTCCCAGATTCCGTAACACCAGTTTACTACACAGCCCAGCCACTGTAATCTTTCACACATTTCAGAGGAGACAAGACAGAACAGAGAAGCATTACCTTCTCTAGCAATCTCCCAAAAGACCCAAAACAATTTCCTTCACAAGTCTTAAGTTCTTTCTCTCACCTTGCACATCAAAGTCCTCTTCTTCCAGCGTAGTCTACATTGATAAAACCTTCCTCAACTTTTCCTCACTCTTGAGTAATCTAACATTTAGCAACTTTACCAAATTTTAACCTTGGCAGCTCCTTCATTCACTATCAGGTAGTTCACGTGTACAATTGGCGAAATATTTCTAACCTTCTTTTCTAATAGCTGGTGTACTTGACGTAAGGAGCCTGTAGAGCTGGGGGAAGAAGATATCATAGGCATGGCTACACATCACAGAAGAACACCAAAGGGCACACACCAACTGCTTTGCTTTGCAGTTCACCTTTAGTTAAAGCCTTGTAACAGTTTTGGCAGCTATGGAAGCTACCAGATGGGCAGAAGGAGACCCAGAGAGATGAGTAATTACCCACCCAGTTAGTAAGAATCTGGAATAAAACCCAGAGACCCTGTTTCATACTTGCTTTAACGTTACATCGCTTTCTGTATCTACCAGCCATGCCAACTTTAAGTCAGTAAGTAATAATTTATGTGCTGTCCTACTTCGTTCTTCATATTCTTTTCTGAAGGTCAACCTCACAAGAGGTCTGCCCCTTCAATCCAACCTACAATCAACCTAGAGACTTGGCAAAGATGTCCAGTCCCCCAAATTTTCAGTGCACTTTTTTAATCCTCCCACAAGGATCAATGCAGTCAGCTCCTTCTGCAAATCTGTAACGCAAGCAACTTTAATCTACTTTTTAAAATATCATTAGGATACCCAGCCTCACTGTGTTAAGTTTCTGAAAGCGAAGATCCTACAAGGATCCTTCTGTCAAACAAAGTATTTCAGATTATCCTTGTCTGACCTGCAGATATCCAACATAACTCATTAGAATTGTAATTATCATTAATAATTGTAATCTTCTAAATTATCTGAGCTTCTATTAATGGCCTATATTTTCAGATATCATTAAAGAACACTCGTATAGCAACTTGCTGAAATCTCTTTCTGTTCTTCAGCCATTGGAAATGGATACAAAAAGGCCCACATTCATTTAATCTTGTCTGCACTTACAATTATTTCACCATTTACAAGAAAATAAAATATATATTCTCTGTTATACAAACAATACTTTCAAAAAAAGTTGCAATAAGTATAGACCACCTTAGCACTCAGAAGAGATGCATGGGTAGTCATGCCTTTAGGTCAGATGTTTAGGACACACTAAAACAGTGCCTTCTCATCAAGGATTATTAATCTATCATTACATTGGAACAGAAAGTTCCTTTAATTTCGTTTCACAAAGGATTCACTCATACACCACTGAAAGGAACCAGAAATCTCCACCAGCATGTATCAAGTACCCTAAATCTCAGCCAGAATGGTATTCAACACAACAGGAAGATCCACCTCACTTTTTTCCTGGCGGTCCCCCAAAGTTGCTGAGCATCAGATCAGCAAATACAGCTGTAATGCTGTGATATCAACCGTGGAGCCAGATCACTGCAGGAACAGGAGGGAGGAATAGGAGGAGAGAAAAAGGGAGGCTAACAGATTTGTACACTGAATTATTTTTAAATCATTTTGTTCTGCATCTAACTCCCTAAATCCTCACTTGAAGTACTACGTAACGGATTACCAGACAGAGCCCTACTGAAACAAAAGTTATTTACACTTCTACATTTGCGAATCCAAAGCATCCTTTGCTGCATAACAGAGAAATATTTTTTCACTTTGAGGATTTTAGATATCAAAACACACCAAAGAGCTAATGATCTCTGGTTAGCTCAAGTTTAATTTGGACAGCTCACAGACGGATCAGCTCCTTGCTCTGTACTAAATCACATGCAGTAAGCACACTGCCTGATTCTGCATTGCCTCACTTGGAAAAGCACCAGAGCATCTACAACTTACGGGACATGGAGAAGGAGTGACATTCCTCACTAGTTAGCCACAACTCGCTTTTGAACAACCCTGCATAAACCAAAACATCACAGAGCATTTTAACTGGCTTTAGGCAGTAAGAACAAAGTCACCAGAGTAAAATAAGCAGAAGTCTTGGCTCATGCCTGTTACTCCCAATTGCACTGGCATAACTTTTTAAAACAACACACACAGACTTAGCCGCCATGAGCTACTGCTGAAGATGTGATGGCACTGTCTTCCCCCCTGCCTCTATCTCAGGAAAGGCTTTTTAGATTAAAACATCATAGGGAAAAACAACTCTTTTTTTTCTGTTAATAAATACTACATATTATCAGACTAAAAATAATGTTTTAAACACATCCCATATTTCTGTTCAGTGGACTTGTATACATATATATGACAAAGAATATAAAAAACCCCTTAAATTTCACAAGTCTTAAATTCACAAGTGATCAGTTGAACAGCCCGTGCTCTACAATATATAATCACATCCAGAATGCTGTATTCTTTGAATTAAGGGAAGGGTGCATACAAGCATACATTGCTCTCAAAGGCACATCTACAGCTGCAGTAACCACAAGATCATGGATAATTTAAATAAACTCTGTCTCTATGACACTTTCTGGTGCTCTCAATATATCCCACCACACCTGCAACCTGAACTCCCACTCCTCTTGCATCTATCTCCATGTATTTACTTACTCCCCTCCCTTTTCGGCTTAAATAGGAAAGCAGAGGAAAAAGCAAGAAATTTCCCTAGGAGAACAGAAGGAGCTTTCAGCAAAACTAGCACCAAGCCAGCTCTCCCAATACCTAGGCATCTGCTTCAGCTTTCCTTCTTCTCCTACTAGGCCTCTCT